ACTTAGAATGGGAGATGGATCGGCTTGTGAAAGCGAAGAGAAAAGTCGAAAATATGCAATATGAAAATAATTGAAGACAAAATGTGTTTTACTGAGAAAAAACAAGATTTGGTTTTTAAAAAGCCTTTTTCCAAAAGGTACATCTGGAAAAAGGGGGGGTCGTCTTATAATCAGGGTCGTCTTATATTCGGGCCAATACGGTATTAGTATTATTTATTAATATTTTCAATTAGGTTTTTTACCATTTATAAAATAAATGTTTTAAAATTTTAATTCCTTTTTTTGTGCTTTTGTCAATTTTGTTTTCATTTGAATGGCAGTTTAAGCATAATACAGTTGTCATGTGTTTTTGTCAGTTTGATTAGTTTCAGGCTTATTTTAGTTGAAATTTCATTCATTTTTGAGCTTTTGTCTAACTGTCTAATTTTTTAGTTTTTTATATTTATATTTAGCTTTCATTTATTTTTAGTTCCGGTTTGAGTCATTTTAGTACTTAAAATTATTTAATATAAATTTTTTTAATTTATCTAATATTTATATTTTCATTTAATTTTTTATTTTAAATAATAAAAAAAGTTTTAGCTTTAGTTAACAATAACAAAACTGGTTCACATTATAGTAAAGGACTATTCAATCACTTGTCGATCAAAACAGCTCGTCACTTGTGGCTGGTTAGGACAAAAAGATTTTAAAATCGCATTTTGTCATTTGTCTTTTCATTGTGCCTGGTTAGGACAAAGTGTAACAGACAGACATTTTACTGACAGTTAAATTCTCATTACTGCGGCGTCACGCCTGCATAGCCCCACCCACCATGAAATCCCATTCTGCATGAACATATTAAAATAAATCATGGCCTGATATCCTGCCTGTTTTGTGCCTTTTTTGTGTATTGCAGCATTTTTGCATTTAGAGTGGACAAAATAATTACGTGTTGCTGGGAACTTACCACATCATTTCTGGGAAGGACGTGGTAAGGCTAACAATATGTCTTAAACTGTGGCAGAATCATTTCAGAACACAGTCTACACAGTCACAGTATTTTGTAGCAGTGGGGTAGTGCTACAAAATAATATACAACAGAGGACGGCTGCTTTTTTTATCAAGAACAATGAGAGGGGAAAAGGAAAATCATAAACTACAGCGGCCTAGAAAGCTTGTGTGAAAGGACTGGATTTAAGCAGCCATTATACATGTCACCATGAAGAACAGCAGAGAGGAGGATAAAGTGTAAACTCACTAAGTTATGGCCGGGGGGAAGGGAGAGGAGGTGTGAAAGGAGGGAGAGAGGAGAGGTAGAGGAGGTGTGTGTGTGTGTGTCTGGGAGATCATTCCCCCTCTGCAATTAAAACAGCTGCCAAGGTGAATCTATGCCTGATCGATCAGAGGCTTCTCACACTCCGTTCACAGTCTTCAGCTGGGAGATCACACCGTCCATCTAAATGAAGCTTGCAGTGAATGTGTGTGTGAGACTCTGAAAGCACATTTTCTGAGCAGGTGTACAGCTTACAAAATCAGTGAAGTACAATGCCAGAGACTAGCAGATGTGTGCTGCTGCTCCTTCTGCAGATAACAACAGCCCTGTTCCAATCCAAGCCAAAAGGCTGAATAAACGCAATGGAAGTTTGCAAACTTTTTTCTGCATTGAATCTATTCACGCCAAGCCTGATGCAAATGTAGGACAGTTTTTGAAAAAAATGTATGATGATGTGAATAAATGCAAAGTATTTTCCAGATACAATCCACAAGAATATATGAAGAGTTTATTTGAAAAAAACAGATAACTCCGTTTTTAAATTTTTTTAAAAATCATGTCTTTTGTTATGTTATCATGTTTTTATTGTGTTTTATTGTGTTAGTTAGCTGTATTTTTTTGTTATTTTTTTTACCCAATCAAAATAACCCAACTGCAGTTTGATTGAGATTAATTGGAATGCACAATGAAAAAACATGATTATTGAGTTATCGTTTTTTTGCAAATGAACTCTTCATATCTAACATCTAAAAAAAAAAAAAATCCATAGGATTTACCAATACTAAAAAATTAACATCTAATGGCTCTTTCAGATTTGCATTTGAGGAATTGTGTATTTTTTTAAATTTTTTTTTATCCTTCACTACAGCAAAGAAAAGCGGGGTTCAAATATAAATTTTGACATGACTCATAGTAAATGATGCTATATTTCAGCAATTGCTTTAGTAATGTTGCTATAATAGAGATTTTGTGCATTTTGTCTTTGTACTGATGTTCATTAACATGAATAGAATTATAGAATAATAGAAAGAACGACAGAAAAATGGAACAGTAGATAGAACGATAGATAGAAGGATAGAACAATAGAACGATAGATAGGTATAGATAGTTTTTTAAAATTATTATTATTGTTTTTAAAATTTTACTTTATTTTAGAATTTCCTGTATTTTATTATTGGTTTTGTTCAGCACTTTGGTCAGTGTAACGCTGAATTTTAAATGTGCTCTATAAATAAACTTACTTACTTACTTACTATAAGTAGATAGATAGGCAGATGGATAGATAGATGGATAGATAGACGCAGATGAAAATCTTCATAGTTCAGAGAATACATTTTTTTTAAAAGATTAAATAAATAAATACTTGGCCCAGCAAACAGAAGCTTGGGAAGTTACTATTTAAAAAAAAAACAAAAAAAAACCATGCAAATCTTAAAAAAAAAAAACAACATGCAAAAACCAACCTAACCAAAATGTTTAAAAAACTGGATCTTCTCAGTACAAGCTTTTAAACTAATAGGAAAGCATTTAATCTTTGTAAAATCTTCCTGCATGAAAGTCTGTGCTGTAAATCACATACTGCATGTCAAACATAAAAGCTAAAACAGTTCAGCCGTGTGACCCACAGAGATAGTTAAGAGTGTATTGTGTTGATGTCAGAACAGCTGGGCTCCGCCACAGCACACTCCGCTCATCACAGTCAGCAGGTGTGCACACGCACAGAAACAAACACTAACAATGTGCCTGTGATGCAGCAGAACAGCATGTTTGATAGTGTGTAAACTGTGAGCATCTAAATCTGTGTGTTTTTCCACCTTCTGCTCTTGTTAGAGAAATAAAAGAAACCGTGCCACCCTAATCTTCCTAAACTGTCGCTCACTCTGCAGATTTCACAGGTTGGAAAGCATGTGGCATTCAAAAGAGATTCCCCTCTTGGAACGTGACACTTGCGCGCACAATTACCATTATTCCCGGGAATATGTTCAAACGGAGGACATCTTCACGTCTGCTACTCTACCGGATTAAAAGTGAAATAATTGCCCCTGTCACAGCCTTTGGTTCTGGTATGACATCCTCCTTCTGTCGAAATCCTGCTTTAAAAGCGTGTTTTTCTTGTGCTGCCCATTTTCTAAGAGCTGCCATAAATAAAAAAAAAACAAAAAAAAACAAATGAGTCACCACAGCAGCTCTCCAACGTAGGAGAGTGGGGTGAGGGAACATTTCCAAATCTGCACTTCACTTATCTATAAAAAACCCATGCGTTTACCGAATAACACATCCGGTGCCGGGAACTGTGTGGTGGAGGGGTGAAAATATTGGTAAATGGATTGTATAACAAGTGAGGATGTCAGCTGCCTCACACTCAACGAGGAACACATCAGCGAGCGTGTGTGGACATCATCCATCAATGCAAGTGTCCGTGCAAGTGCTACATTTTGCACAAGACTGCAGACTTTATTCACATGTGCTGCAGACTGCTGATAATGTCAGTCTGGTGTCTCTCGCTCTGCGTAGACAGCGGTGAGAGACAGCTGCGGTTGGGCGGTGTTTGGATGTAGAGCATGGCCTCGCTTTGCACCCTGCTGCTATACAGTGTAACAAGAAAAAAAAAATAGGGTTTGACCAGCTCTGTGGTGGAGGTGAGGGGACAAACGGTCCGGTGCCGTCTGAGGATGCAGAAGACACATGTGCACAGGCATTCTGCCCGGTAACACTCGAAAGCAGAAAGACGATTGGCCGACACAGAGTCTTTAGTTCTCAAACTCTGTGGCCTCTTCACGCAGGCATGGCGCTAAACATGGGGCTCCCTCCCCTGCATTAATACATTCAACCTCTCATCTTGTCTTTAGAGACAGATTCATTTGAATGTTTTTGTGCAAAGTTGATTTCCAGGGTCAAGCCTTCAAAGTTTAAACATGCATTCATTAGCGATGGCTTTGAGAAACCTAAAACCTTTTATTTTTCCATTATTCCCCAAATCAAAACGCACTTCTCAAAGCTCTTCGCTTGAGATAGGGGAGAAAGAGAAAAAAAGACTAACAGCAAAAAAAGTGCACTGAAAAGAGGTGTGAGAAGCGAAGCAGCATGCAAATAACTCACTCTTACAAAGTCTGACAGCCATTGATTTTTTTCTTCGTATTTCACTCTATTTTTCGCTGTATTGTTTGATTGCGTTTGTGGTGACTCATTTCTATCTTTTAGCAGGGCCATCCGGCACTCTCTTTAGATACACTCTCAAAAGCAACACAAAAGGAGAAAAAGAACTGAGAGGGTGAGCAAGAGAATGAGAGGGCACAAAGAAAGAGGTAAAGCTGGGGTTTTGTCCTGAGGTAAGGCATTAGACAGCTCTAGGAGAGCGAGGATGGGAAATGAAAGGTTGTATGGGTTAGTTGAAAGCGGGAGTTCATCTGAGCCGGACTCTAGAAAAACACACATTATTTATTAACCAGGGACACTATCAGGAGGAGCAGACGGTCTACTCATAGTTTAAACAAATTGGTGGAATTGCAATGTTCAACGAGATGAACTCAGAAGATAAAGTCTGGATTTCTAATTTCAAATAGCCAGTTGGCTTTTTGGGAGATTCAACTCCTGGTTTTTCAATGTAGAAGGTAGTTTGCTGGTTTAGGCTAGTAAACTGGTCTCCCAGTTTTGGCCAAGCTGGAGTTCAACAAGTTTGCCACAAGGTCTCTCAGTCTGACCAACTGAAAAATGTCCAAAACCCCTGTAGAACAAGCAAAATGACTAGTGAAAATTAACCACATTGTTGTCCACCCTTCTGTAAACACCTCTAAATTAATCAAAAATGACTAGCTTGACCAGTGGAAGCCAAGTTAAAGGGGTCATATGATGCTATTTTAAAGATCATTATTTTGTGTATTTGGTGTAACAGAATATGTTGACATGCTTTAATGTTCAAAAAACACATTATTTTTCAAATACTGTACATTATTTGTAACACTCCAAAGAGAAAGGAAAACTTGAAATCGCATCATGTGACCCCTTTAAGAACAGTAAACCATCTTAGGTTTTTACGGTTCTTTATGCACCAAGAGCTTGTAACACTCCAAAGAGAAAGGAAAACTTGAAATCGCATCATATGACCCCTTTAAGAACAGTAAACCATCTTAGGTTTTTACGGCAAAGGAAGATAAATCATTAGAGCCCTATAAAATCAATTTTTAATTTATTTTTTCCCTGAAATACTGCGTTGTGCATTTACATTTTTTCTGGTAAATAAATTCTAGTAAATAATTTTTCTGGTAAATATTCCTTAAAAAAATTATGTTTTAATAAAATTTTTAGTAGTAGTAGTAGTAGTAGTACTATCATTACATTAAGTAATATATTTCTGTCACAGTTTCTTCCAGTTAAGCCGAACTTTTATTTTGACAGGTTGCTGTGAAGACCTGTTTCTGTTTGTATATATATGATATGACAAAACATTTTCTTAAAAAAGAAATGAAGAAAGAGTAAAATGCTACTGAAGTGACTCAGCTCTGGAAATTATGTTCATGTTTTCAGACTTGAGACAGCAGTCTGAAAACGCCACGCACTTCAGTATGTGTGTAGTAAATCAAACAGTGCGTCTGCACCATTCTTTCATACAGGGACACGCAGAACATGCATGATTCTGATTTAAATAGTATATTTGCGATTTAATATTCACAGACACCAGTCCATATCCTGCTTTCATTTATGTGTACTGACCTACTTTTTATTTATTCACCCAAAATTTGTGTTATACAATAAATTAAGTTTTTTATGACCTGATTCCGTGATTCCATCCACGTTTTCCACATCGCGGTAATCACAGGGCCCTACATTATACCCTTACAAATTATTAGAAGCAAAACATTTGGAAATTCTCGGGTGCACTGTCAAGTTGGCTGCTGAGCAAATCAACTCGCTCTATTAGCATACTAACACTCAAACCACTTACTAGATCCCTAAACAACACTGATATGGGCCGAACAGGCACACTTTGTCAAATAAGAATGATAGCTGGCAACCTACAGAGTTCACCTATGACTTGGGAATCATGGGATATGTTGAAAAAGGCCAACAGTCAGATCTTACTGTGATGTTGAAAATAGACCAGGTGCTAATTCTAAAAACTAAACACAGAGACACTTACAGATATACTTGTATTTAAAAAATGCTTGGGAATACAATAGAGAGCTACTTTCCAACAATGTGTGGGCATTCATTTTTAAAAGCCGTGACCTCATGGACGAGAGGATGCTGACCTTCAATCGACTACAGAGAAGTCAATACGACTATTAGACTATCGAGTTTTCTTATCCAACATTCCAGAGCACAGTCGATACAGTAGTTAGTAGAAGAGAACAAAACAGAGTCCAATCCACACAGTGTGATTTAAACAATCAGTTCAACCAGAATAGCACTCGATCCCATAATGCACCACGTTCTTTATTTGCAGACACAGTTGCATTAAACGCAGTTAGCGTTAATGTTTCTACTGTTTCTGTGATAAACAGTAAAATCACAGTCACCCACACATAGGTACTCTAATGTTAGTAATTGAGTATGTTACTGTCGGTCATTCCAGTGCAAGTTAATTTTAGCAAGGTTTTTCCTTTTCAGTGCTAATACTACAGTAATTAAACTGGCACTCACAGTGAAGCTGTAGAAATGAGCTAATATGACAATTATCATCTAAAAGAGTCCTTCAGCATATTATAGATGTGGACTCAAACACTGTAATCTGATGATTTGACATAAAACATACTTAAACAAGAATGTTACAGAGATCAGCATGATTTGTGGTGAGACTGATGACAATGGATCCTGCAAGACCAGTTCTACTCCGTCACAGAAATCTAATACGGGCGTTGACTCTCAGACGCAGACATGGAGGTTTCAGATGGGACCTAGAGATGAAGAAGCGCTCTGTTTAGTGATTGTAGGACTTACGGGTGGTGCTGGTAGGGCTGGGCACCCAGTTCTCTGTGAAGTTGACGTTGCACATGTTGGTGCTGCAGCAACAGAATCTGTAGGTGCCATTCTGGATCTGTGAGGGCGTGGTGGTAACCACGCAACGGTCGTCATGGCAGTCCTGCTGGTCGCCAATGTAAGTCCAACAGCCTGCAAAGAAGGGATGCAGATGGTTGAGTGAATGAGATACAAAGTCTGTAAGAATGTGTGGGGATGAAAAACATTTGTGTGTGTATGTGCGTGCGCATTTTAAAGTATGCATTTTGTGAAAAAGTCATCATATCGTATCGTATCCTATATATATAGAAAATTGATGAATTTTAATATGACAATGAATTAATGCATAATATATATTATATTTAACATGACAATGAATGAATCATGAATACTAATTTAGCTTTTATTAATTAAGATTTCTAAATTATCAGACATTTTTGTTTAATTTATTGAATGTTCTAAAACACAATCATGCAAACCTATTAATCTGTGTTAGAGTGCAGTTATTAGCTTAATTTAAAAGAATAGTTTAGTCGAGATGTTCTCATGTTCTTGTAAACCAGTATGCTGTCATTTTTCAGTGAGTAAAAAGCTTAGCATATAATAGTAGCACACTTTAAAACAACATGGAGGTAATGCTGAACAAACTTTTGAACATATTTTATGGTTGCACCGTCTCTTTAAGAAAAACAGAAGTCAATGGACAGTCCTCATAAGTATATATGCAGAAGTTTTTGAGTGTTTGAGTTCATCCTGACCTTGTTTGACCAGGCGGATCTCTCCGTTGTGTGTTTTCTCCCACAGGCCGTAGCAGCGGCTGCTCTTGCTGCACAGGATGGTGTTATTTTCTCTGGTGATGTGCCAGTCAGCAGCCACACTCTGCTCATCCACCTGCTGGTGCTGGTCATTAAAAGCACACTCCCGCTCTCTCTCCTCACTCTGAGCAGCTGCCGAGACACAAAATGAGAAAAAAAAGAGATGAGATTATTAACAAAACACACAACATCCATCAGGAACACTTCCTGTAGGCCTACATACACATACACACTACGGAAAAGCAAAGTGAGCATTACTTATAACAGTCCCTTTAAGACAAGTCAGGCCACATAGCAGCCATCTTGGGGTCTAATATATATGTGACCCTGGACCACAAAACCAGTCTTAAGTCGCTGGAGTATATTTGTAGCAATAGCCAAAAATGCATTGTATGGGTCAAAATTATTGATTTTTCTTTTAGGCCAAAAATCAAAAAATTTACCCTTATGACTGGTTTTGTGGTACAGGGTCACATATATAGACAGATATTTTAAGTCACAATGAAATGTATTTTCTAAATGCATGTTACATGTTATCTTATAAACTGCGTATACTGTTCTACTTGTCTGTGTCAGCCGCACCACACGGATACGTTTTCTTCGTTTATTTATGCTTTGATTTGAACAAAAACAGCATATCCGTGTGGTGCGGCTGACAGTCACAAGCCTCCCGGTTTTCATCCAAAATATCTTAAATTGTGTTCCGAAGACGAACAAAGCTTTTACGGGTTTGGAACGACATGGGGGTAAGTGATTAATGACAAAATTTTCATTTTGAGGTGGAGTAACCCTTTAAACAAAGTTTTACACATCCCTTGCCTACTGAAATGTTCACTTATTAAATATTCTGGTAAATTTAATAAACTTTCAGCTCAGTACATTCATCTTTAACACAGATTTCCCCCACAATTAATGCAGAAATCTGTGCACCTACATGACTTTTTTCAGTCCTACAAAATGATTTCCTGCCTGGAGGAAGCTGAAGAGTTCATTCTGTGCGGAGGATAATCAGGTTGAATGTGGGCGCGTAAATCTGATCGATAGCTAAACCTTGATTAATCGGACGCAATAGGAGGGGCGGGGGGATTTGAAACGGTCCGACGGCTTTATGCTGGGAGCGAAACAACAGAACACCTGGGGCCTCCACGGCACCTGCTGCTACTCCATCCAACCACGTACACATTCGCTTACGTGTACACAATGCGCACCACCCAAAAAACTCCATTACAAAGCTTCCCTAAGTCACTGTCATGACAACAAGGGAAGGGAGGGGGGAAACAACAGTGCGCTGAGCGTACGTGCAGAAAACAAACCTTTTGAGCACTGCCGTGTATTTAGAAAACACAAAGCCGTGATGACGGATAAGGGCCCAAGCCAACGGGACTGCCCTCATTTCCATGAGCAGAGCCAGCGGGGCTGAATTCTGCTGTCGGCTGATCGCAATCTCCACCGCAGCTGGCCCGTGCTCACCCCAACTGTATCCAATGAATTAATCCTCTCTCTCTCTCACCAGCACTGTCATGCAAATCGTCAGGCCAGTGTCTGAGTTACCGAGAGGGAAAAATCATAATGCCACTCGTTTAACAGGCTTGGTGAAGTCACGGATCTGGGCTATTGTATTCACAGCGTTCAGACAAGTGAGCTGGGAGGGGGAAAAGCCCCCTGGTAGCATCATCACCGGTATCCGCGTCCCCTCCGAGTCCAGAGAGAGAGAATTGCCGCTGTATGTCCCTGGGGGAGGCCTTTGTCTGCTCCTTTACAGGAACGAAGCCTGAAACGGCTGAACCGGTTTGTATCACGCCGCACACACACACCAGCAAGTGGCAGCGCGAGCATGGATGAATGTGTCCTCGGCGTAGCCGCGGATGCCTGGCTCTGCAGGACTCCTCATTATACCGACCAATCCTTAATCTAAAACAGGGCTGCTCGACCCGAGACTGAGGCGCAAAACGGTCCCTCAGCGGCTTTTTTTTTTCAGTTTGTGAGCCCCTCTTCAAGACAAAACACAGAGCTCCACTGGGGGCCGTAAAGGGATGAGATGCCTCCCAATTACGGGGTAAAGATGGAGGATCCCGTCTCAACTGACGGTAATGAGGGCTGAGCCAGATGGATGACACTCACGTCCTCTTCCTCTTTGAGCACTTTTGTTTGCGCAGTTACGAGAGAGTGACCGGGGTGTAATATCACATTCATGTTGATTGTTTATTTTAGGCCCCGTCTTTGTTTTTGAGTCAGTGAGACAGGTCATTAGGCGCGACAGTTTCCTGTAATTTGGCTGCGAAGCCGCGTGCCTACCCCACAACACAGGGGTGCAGAGGAACAAGAGCGGCCTACAGCAGGGCCTTCAGATCCAATCACAAAGCAACACATGGTGAAGGAAAACACTGTAGCGTTTTGGCTGGCTCCAAAGCAACGCCTCAGGCCATAAGTGGCTTAGAGTTCGAGTGCTGGAGAAAAACAGCAGGACACTAAAGGCTGATTTATACTTCTGCGTCGGAAGACAACAACGGAACAGGAGAAGATGGCATACTTTCAATCTCCACAAGGACTTGTACCACGGCAGATAAACATTGTTTGTCGCGGACAACTACTGATGTATAATGCTATGTAGTATAATAAATGATAAGACACTTGACTTGTTCTTTGTTTTATTTTATATAAGATTTATTAAAGTGCACATAACATCCAGACACATTGGGGGACTGGAAAATTAAAAAGGTACTGCTGGCACAATATATATTTATATATTTTTTCTTGAAATCTCAAGTGACGTTTTTCCTCCTAAATAGGTCTGACGGCGTTATCTGAAACTTTCATTCCTGCACAGTACAGCTGGGATGAGAGCATTCTGGTTAAGTGTTTTCCTCATACCATGATTAATTCATCTTCACCAACTGGCTCCGTTCCATCCGGACATGCAAGACAGGCATCGTCGAATCTTCCAAATGACTTGGCTCTTTATTTTTGTCTGGTCAGTGACAGAAGAAAATTCTTCCACCTCTAGGTGGCAGGGTGCTTTGCTTTCCGCCGGGAGAGGACACTAGAAAGGGAGGAGGGTGGGGGCAGGGGAGGGGAGAGGGGGATTGTGGGATTGTTTTTGGGGGCAGTGGAGACCGTCTGTACCAGCCTGACTCTGCCCTGCTACTGTTTGTGCACCAGCTCAAGGTTAGAGCTGTGGGGGAGGGGGGGGGGAGAGGGGTATGGGGGGATTGTTTTTGGGGGCAGTGGAGACCGTCTGTACCAGCCTGACTCTGCCCTGCTACTGTTTGTGCACCAGCTCAAGGTTAGAGCTGCCGCTCGGAGGCCTGTCAGCATTTTCCCCAGATAACACTCAACTCTGCCTTACTGGGGACCTTCGGTCTGTGTTAGTCCCACCTCCCGGTCTTCATTTTAAAGGGAAAGCGCAGTCAAAAAAGCTGGTGCACTCCACAACGGCGGTAACTCACTTGTCAGCTAACGCCAGGAAAAACAGAAAACGAAACTACGCTTTTCTATAAAGAATACATCACAGTAAAGGACTACACGAATCTAAGCCGAGTACAAATCGTGATTAATTTATCACGTCTCCGCTGAGGCCAAAAGCTGAAGCTGCGTCTGCCAAAGAGCCGGAGGGCCTGTGGCCGTTTCCTTTCGAGTAAATTGTCTGATAGGTTGGCACAGGCCCCATCTCCTGCCAATGTCTCTATGGACAGGGAAGCTGTCAGGCTGGCTCTCAGATACAGGAAGGCAGAGGGGGAGTGCTGGCACTGGAGGGGGCATCAGCAGAAACCTCACTCCAGCTTGGCCTAGGAGAACTCAGGGGCCAAATGAAAGGAAGGAGGATGGTTCAGCAATTCCAGGGCCATCTGGCAGGGCAGAATCATGCAAGACCGTCAGGCAGTTAGATTAAGTGGCATATTGGTGTAATATAAAATTTTCTTGTACTACAGTAAGTGAAGGAAGGCTGCCTGATTTTTTTCTTTATAAAAAGATACCGTAGATCTTGTGTAGAAGTTTAAGTGTGGTATTTGTAGTAAGGTCACAGTGACTCAAAGGTAAAACCATAAATTGCTCAATACCACGGTTAGATCAATATAAGTACTGCATGCTTCATTTACAACAAAATGCATATTCCACAAATATATAATACATTATGTGAACTGATAGCTTGGAGGTGAAGTGCAACTAGCGTCATCAAACAGAACTGCAAAAATAATGTCTGATTTCCTGAATGCTACACTCATCTGCAATTGGTCAGTCAAACAGATAGTCCCGCCCCCAATCTCATATTATTGGCTGATTCAATGTCGCTGTGCCAGTATGGTCAGGATGCTGAAAGAAAAGTTTTACAATTCCACACAACTACAGTCTAAACTTTTTTAAGGAAATCAAACGGACCGAGGGATGCACAATATATATATATATATATATATACTGCAAAGATGTCAACAATTCTGTGTTTTTCTGTCAATATGGGGTGCTGTGTGTACATTAATGAGGAAAAAAAATTAACTTAAATGATTTTAGCAAATGGCTGCAATATAACAAAGAGTGAAAAATTTAAGGGGGTCTGAATACTTTCCGTACCCACTGTATATATATATAAAATCGGTAACTTATAGGTTTTACAGACTTTAATTAGCCATATTGGATATTTAAATGAACATGCTCATTTTCTCTATTTTTACATTTAGATGACCTTTGTCATCATCTAATGCTCACCTCAAGTTATTCAAAAACACATTATTTAATTTACATGCAACACTGTTAAATGTTCACATTTCAATATTTATTTCCATATTGTACACTTTCCTGTTGGGATGCCTGAATTCACTTGAATTCACTGATTTTCGTGTTTTATTTTAAATTAATGTAGACAAAACAGTATAAAATTTTTATCAGTTTATCAGTTATCGGCCTTATCATTAAAATAATTTTCAGCTTGTTACTATTGGCTATAACAGTTTTTTATATGAATATTTTAATACATTGTCTCAGCGCATTAAGCCAAGACAGGAGAAACTATGTTACAGAAAAAAATAAATTCCACACATTTCCAAACTATAATTGCAGCTGTCATAGACGCAATAAAAATGGAGATTCCCTCACTCCCATAATTTTCATAAGCCTTAGTATACATTGAAGTTGGAGTA